ATACGCAAATTGAAGATGAGCAGCAAGAAAAATCACAAAGTACCGGGACTTGCAAATTGAAGTTGAAAGACTGTGGAAAAAGAAATTGTGTGTTCTCCAGGTAAAGCTCAATTCCTTGTAACTTCATGGTCTTACTGAGTACTGCATTCTAACCATTGCATCACTGGCTCTTAAACAAATAATGCCTGAATTATAAAGTCTGTTCTTTACAGACATTTAAAATTGTTTTACATCTGTATTCCATCCAAGTACTTCAGTTCTGCTGAAAACTGAAATGTTTTGCTGTAATTTAAGTTTCTAGCAAAATTATCAAGAATTTCTTTTTCACTTTTAGGAAGTAGGTCTAGAAAGTAGAATGGTTGCCATTTAAAATTGTTTAACATCCAAGTTCTGTCACAATGGTTTAGTTCCTTATAAAATTAATGTGTGTTAAGATTTATGATTTGGCATTATTCGCTATTGTTGTTGGACTTCATATCTCGCCAGCCCTCAAGCTGAAACTTGCAAAATTTCAAAGAAATGGTTACTAAGAAATAATTCTGGCTAACTGGCATCAATCGTATCATGATTGATATTCAACTGGAGATGGCCAAAAACTGAATAATAAAGCTAATACCTCTATTCCTAGGAAATGTCTAAATGAACTGTTTCAAGATTAGCTCTTCTATGCCAGGGGTGTTGAACAGCAACTAGGAGTTCAGATGTTTCTTCTCTTTCATACTTATGGGTCTTTATGCAATCAATATACTTTGCATATTTGTACGTCAGCGATATGCACCAACATTTCCTTATTGTCATCATGGAAATCTTGTTTCTCCTTATTTCTAAATGAAAGTAATGTATAGTCATGACTGGCATTTAATTCCTAATTTAGTTTGTTCATTAGGGATCCCCCACCTCTAGGTTCTTCTATTTCATCTTCGTCTCTTAACTGAGGGAGCCAGTGTTGTCTGAACACATTTCTGTGTGGATAGCATGACTACATTTCAAGGTGCATACTTTTTTTTTTAAGCTTGTCAGATCAGTGTTAAATATTTATCTTTAAAACCCTTTCCTCTTCTTCTTCTTTCCCATTTTAGTTAGAATTATAAAGAGGAGGAACATTGGCCATGGGGTTGCGATGGGTCAGACACGATTTCGCAACTAACAACAACAAAGAGGAATCAGCTGTTAGCATCTGGAAGCTCATTGTATTCACAGTCCCAAATATTTATCTAATGATTTAAATTAAATAAATAGCGGAACCAGTAAATCAAAGATTCAGAACAGTTGCAGACACCTCGCTGAAAAAGCTTCAATGAAGCAATATATCTTGCTTTACTGACAGCTCTCAGTACATCACATATATAGTTGATATGCAGAATGGGTGATCTGAGGATTGAGAAGTGATCCAGCAAAAGCAATAGCACTTAGACATATATACCACTTCATAGTGCTTTTACAGCCCCCTCTAAGCACTTTACAGAGTCAGCATATTGCCCCCAACAATCTGGGTTCTCATTTTACCCATCTTGGAAGGATGGAAGGCTGAGTCAACCTGGTGAGATTTGAACTGCCAAATTGCAGGTAGCCAGCAGTCAGCAGAAGTAGCCTGCAGTACTGCACCACTATGGCTCCAGTGGTTCCCAACTGCTGTTAGTTACAAATAAAACTATCATTTCATTTTATTAAGATTTATAGGCCGCCCTTTTCCCTGAGGGGACTCAGGGCGGCTTACAATCAAAGGGAACGGGGTGCAATATCANAAAAGTCGGAAACACCAAGTTAATGTTCTTGGATCATTTCCATAGAATCCTGGGTGGTCTTTGAGGTTCTTGCAGACATTTTATCACCCAACTAGGTAACATCTTCAGTGCTACAGGAATTGAGATTAGCTCTTGTTTACATATAGTGGCTTGCCCTGCCAAGTGTTAGTGGAAGTATTGTTTACTATATTAGATTGTTTGTCTGAATTGATGGTTTCAAACTCAAGACAAACTCAATTCAAGTTGGATCATTTCCCTAGAACTGCTTCCAGACTGCTTCTCAAGCAAAATTAATCAATGGGCCTTATATTTACAAGGTCTTGTAAAGGAGAAACTTTGGCAAAGTTACTGTTCTAATATCTTGATGTGAGGGGATCCCAATATATATACACTGTGGATTCATAAATACTTATGATGAAGCTGATAGAGTAATCTTCTCCCAAGCAATGAAATGTCTAAATTAGCTCTTAAAATATGGGATCCCCCCCCCCTGATGACTGACTTACCCTGTTCACTAATTGCTCCCTAAAATATGGTGAAAATAGTAATTTCTGCTTCAGCTAGAAAAAAAGAGCTGTGGATCATATAATGTCTGCCACAAAAGATCTATTATGTTACACACTTTGTATATAACAAGTTATTAAGCAAAGTTATTTATTTACTTTACAATATTTATAAGCTGTCCCAATCCTAAAGGTCAAAAGAAACAGTACAAATAACCATTACCAATTACAATAAATCATCCCAAACCTAAATATGATAGGCACCAATAAAACTAAACTTTCCAAATGCTAAATATATTCTGAAATAGAAGTGCTTTAGTTTGTATATGAAATATTAGGAGGGTTGGTGTGGGGATACGTTTGGGAGGAGGATATGGGGAGAAGACCTGTCATCTGCTGCACGCCCCAGGCCCTTCACAAAACTGGGATCTGCATCAGGTCCTCTCTAGATGACCTAGCTAGATAGCAAAGACAATTCTGGCAAGGGCAGGGACGTGCAGTCACTAGAGGCAGGGGAGGCAGGGCCTCACCAGTCTCCTGAGGGAA